AAAGTTAGTACGGTACGGAGCCGATTAGTCGACTCTTTATCCACCAACTTTAGGCAAGGATGTCTGCTCAARAATAGTGCTTTTGTACTATTCACTGTAGCAAAGGACAAGCCTTCCTCTTAAGGCGTGACACGCACTCTAAACCTACCATATTGCATTAAATGTTCATTTAATGTACTGGGTATAAATAGAAATGTTTCTTCTCCATGCAGAGTGCGCGCATCTCTCTGCTATCCTATTCTTACTTCAAGCATCTTCTAGCTTAAGTAAAGGATCTTCCCTTTAGCAATCTCTTTTCTTGTATTTGTTAAAAGATCTGTGTGTATCCAAATATTGTTTAGATAAGTTTTCTTTACCTTATCTTTCCGCAAACAGTCTTGTAAAATCTGTATTGATCTTCTCTATCAATATATATTTTAAATTTGAAAATATTGTGTTTGTATTCATCCCCCCTCCTTCTACAAACTGTTTCTATTCTTGTAGACCCTTACGGGACCAACAGTTAGATCTATATTTCATGAAGTGTAAGTAAGAAGCCTCTTCCTCTAGTCAAGAGAACTTAGTCTAGGAAGCAGCCGGGAACAAGAGCTCGGATGCAGAGATCGCGCTGACTAAGGGGTTGTTTGGCAATTGTTGAATGGTTTGGTGCAGAATGATTAAGTGGTCAGAATGATTAAGAGACTCTCATGATATAGTGCAAAATGAAATATAATTGTTTGGTAATTGTGTACGATGAAATTAGGGCTCTTAATGGTTAAGGAAGATCCATGATACAGAATCATTCAGAGGGTTTTAAAATCATTAAGAGGCAGACTTATTTTTTACCAAACAAGATTCGCCTCCTAACGATTCAGAGGTTGCCTCTTAATGGAACTATTAAGAGGTAAACAAACAACCTCTAAGACATACTCGAACATAGATAGTGTCTCTTGCATACAAAGCATGTGCCAAGCAAAGAAAGATCAAGCCGAAGCGTCAAAAATCTTTAAGGACTTGATGCAGAGCAACAATTCCAGACGCAGAGTCTCTCGGTCTCTTTCAACCTTAGCTGGCGCACAAAGTTTCTGGCGCATATCACAAGTGTTCTAATCAGAGACCAACATGTATGCAGAAGCGGTTCCACCTTTCAAGGATCGTGAAGGCTAATGATTATGGTTGCATTGACAGAGTTTCAAGCCTGAATTATCGAAGATTCTGTTTTGACGACATATAAAAGAATGCTTCCTCTAAGGAAGCACAACTTCCGGGAATTGCCAAATTTGAAGACGCTCCTGCTAGAGACAATACACTTGTGAGATTTAGATAGTTGTTGAGAGTTTCCTTGTAACTTTCTTCAATTAATCAAAACAGCCGACTTGTTCAACACTTTCATTTAATTTGTGTTTTGTTCATTTCTATTAACCTTCCAATATCATAGTTACTGCTTCCGCTCATTTATTAACTTAAGCTGTGATTATTTGTACATCACAGAATTCTGGGTTTCAACAATTGGTATCAGAGCCATCTAAGCAGTCTATTGATATTGCACCTAAATTCTTATGTGTTTCACATGAGACACAAAATTCTACTCTTCAATGCACATGATTAGCAAAATACATTGAAGCTGATAATATGTGGTTAAAGATAAGCAGGTGTAGTATACAAAGTCACATGGGATGACACTAAAGAGTTGTTTACTAAACATTTGCAACCTCTTATTGGGTAACTAAACACTTATTGCCTCTTACCGAGTAAGAGACGCTTACCTAGTCAGAGATGATGGTCTTTACCAACAAATTTATCATGCTATTTTGCTAACTGAAAATATTACCTCGTAAGTGAGAGTGGTGACTCTTATCTTGTTAGTATTTATTGAGTAACAGACATTTATATTATGTTATTTTGATGACCGATAATCTTACCCTGCAAATGGATTCCTAAGTACGAAACATATATGTATATTTCATCACAAAAGAATAGATAGTCATGCCTTGGATAATCATATGAAAAAAGGATGTGCCTAAGAGCTTGCGGATCAACACCAATTCCCAACTCTCAGGTTTATGGTACACACTATAGCATGCACATAAGGTTTATGGTCCTCGAAGAAAGATGATCTTTTCCCGCACACTACCACAAACATGTTGGGTGTGCAACTATAATTTTTGTTTTCTATGATCGCCTCCTTCCCCCTATATCTTTCATACAACACTTTCAATTCAATCAACTACAAAATCCCCAATAATTTCAATCAACTAGGCTTCCATCTCTTTACCACTTCAATTGGACATAAGAAATTAGGTTTTGAATCGTTCAATCCAACTTTTTTTCTTCATTAATTTCATTGAATTTGAGTTATATCGATCTTCAATCAAATCAAATCGGATTGGGAAAGATGGATACAAATTCACCGATTGCCAAAAGGGTTTGGTTTTCGTTAAATTCGATCTCTCTACTCATCCTATGTGGCTTCCATATCATTTTAAGTTTGACACGACAATAAAGAAAAATATGTTCAAAAGGTAAAAGTTATCCAATGCTATAACGGGTAAATTTTTGAAAGTACGATGTCATATAAAAAATATTTTGAAAGTACATTGTTGTAATAAAAAAATTGAAAATAAGTTGTTATTTCACGCATTTTACCCATTAATTAATTACCAACTTCTATAACACAAATTAATTACCCACTTCTAATTATTGTAATTTTTATTGTTGTCATTTGATTATAATTAGGTTTTAATTATTGTGTTCTAGTTATAATAAGTAAATTTAACCATTATAATTATATATTAATGTAGTTTTTATTAAGAATCTTTAAAGAAGTTGACACAATCAGCGCTTAGTTCTATTTCATGATGTACAAGCTAAATAGCACAAGGTACAAATCAAAGGAAGGCCTATGAGTGATACCATGGGTCACATCACAGCAAATAATGTTCCGTTAAGCTACAGTTTCTTACAAGTCATCTACCACCACATAAAGAGCATCGCATTATGTTTCTGGAAAGAGAAAGAGAAAGAAGCGGTGCGTGTTTTAGTGTGTGAGAGAGAAAGCAAAGAAAGAGACAGAGATGGGAGACGTGAGAAAGGTCGGAGTGGCCGTCGATTTCTCGATGTGTAGCAGAGCAGCGTTGCAATGGGCTGTCGACAACATGTTACGGAAGGGAGATCACCTTATTCTTGTCAACATTCGTCCTGACACCAATTCCGAAGAAACCGAGATGCTGCTATGGGAAACCACCGGTTCTCGTACGTTAATTTTTCATTTCTAATCATGTGTTCATCATCGTCGTCGTCAATCTGTCCTGCAAATTATGTGTTTCATCGGATAACATCGTCTTGATTCGATTTGTCGTATATATTATTATATTCACCAGCCACGACTTTTGTTTTTATAAAGACAGAGACAGACCAGAATTTTTTTCACAAACAAATATAAGAATAAACAACAAAAATGATGTCTGATTGGTTTGAGCTTGGCTCCAAAGGTTAAAAGTATCAGGAGGTCCTAGGTTCAAATCCAAGGAGGAATAAAAATCCCCTTTGGCCAATGAGGTTCAAATGCGATAATTTTGGGCTATCTGCAAAGCAGGTGGTCGTGTTGAGATTAGTTGGCTCGTATAACGGGGTGGATATCTAGGACTCTAGGTTAATAAAAAAAACAAATATAAGAATATTTTTTGTAAAATCATCTTTAATTTGTTAATTACTTCATTGTTTTTTATATGTTAGTTACTGTGTTTAAGTTTTTTAGTGCAATTTTTTTTATATATATAATAAATTCAAAATTAAAAAGCTAAAAACAAAGAAAATGAAGCTAATAAAATTCATGGAAGATCTGTCCATGTGAGATGAGCTCTTTTATACGACACTTTTATTCGGCCTCTTTGTTGCTCAATTATTCTTAATTTTGACGAAGATCTTTCATGTGACTAACTGTCGATTCGATTCCTTATATTACGTACGTGTTTCATGTGCCACTACTTAAGACGTTGGATTAATTGTTTTCAGCTTTGATTCCGTTGAGCGAGTTTACTGATGCACATGTGATGAAGAAATATGGGACGAAGCCTGATCCAGAAACATTAGATATCGTTAATTTGGTTGCAACTCAGAAAGAGGTAATTAATTAATTAATGTTTCCTTTATTGAAACTACGATACAGTCGTACGTTGTTAATAATTCATCGTTCGTGCATACAGGTTGTTGTTCTCATGAAAATCTTTTGGGGAGATGCTCGAGAGAAACTATGTGAAGCCGTTGATAATATCCCCTTGGATTGTCTTGTCGTAGGGAACCGAGGCCTTGGCAAGTTAAAGAGGTACAAATAGGGTACTTCATATACACACACACACATATATATATATATATATATATAGAAGTGTGATCTTTTATTAACCAATTCATTTGTGTTGACTATACAAACTCTTTAGACCAATAAGAATCAATCTAGTATCATGGTTCATATGATCCGTATGTAATTAATGATTGAGGGTAAAACAGTAAGGTTATGTTTTATATTGGATTTAAATGGGAGTTAATTAATGTTTGTATGTTTTGATCAGGGCTATTTTGGGGAGTGTGAGCAACTATGTTGTGAATCACAGTTCATGCCCTGTTACTGTGGTGAAGCAGCATGTGGAATAAGATGATGTAATCAAAGTCTAAGGAACTTAATTGGTACCAAATAATCCCTTGGATAATATTTCCATCTTCTTGTTATTGTTATTGTTGTTGTTGGTAGTTAAAAAAATAAAGTTTGAAGTTGGTTTTGTGTTCATATTATGATGTATTTGTTAAAAATAAATAATAAGATTTAAGTTGGTTTTGTTAAGCCATCTTCACTTCATATCCACCTACAGATAGCCGTAAAAACTTGTACATGTCGAGTAATTACACATGTTAAAGGGATTTGCATTTATCAACAATATTGGATGTTCAAAAAACTTCACAGTAAAATACTTTATAATATAGTATAAATATACAAGTTCATCAAAATACAAATAAAACATGACAGAAATAATATTTCATTTACGAAACAAAAGGTAACATAATACACACTCTTTTCAAAGAAAACTTGTCATGGGTTCATTCTATACAAAATACCACCAACACAAAATCAACATTACTGCTCTGATTTGTGGATTTTTGCTCTAAACTTGTATATATATATATATATATATATATATATATATACTAAATACATTCTCTCATTTACATTACTAGTATTATTATTTATGTTGTCATTGGCAACACATAAACTTGGAGATTTCAAGATTCATCTATGAAAACTGCACCATGCCCACTAGCTTTCATGAACTTCTTGAGGAGAAGAGCAACGATAGCAATGGTAAGTCCGACAGCCGCCCACGTAAAGAGGCGATCATCTCCACCTTTCTGAACCCTCACCACCTGCTCTTGCGGTTGCACAGAAGAAGAAGATGAAGCCGTAGCTACCACCTGCTTCGATATCCTTGGAGCTTCAGCTTCTGTCTCTTCTTCATTGGAGGGAACTTCATGGTTTTCTTCAACCTCTTGTTCTGCGATGATCTCTGTTTGAGGGTCATCTGCTACTTCAGCGGCAGCGGCAGCGGCAGCGGCAGCGGCAGCAGCAGCTGCTGGTGGATCTTCTTCAGACCTCTGCTCAGGAACCGGGGGTGCCTTGCTCATCATGTATTCATGAATCTGAATGTATAATCCCAACATATTTATAGGGTCATTAAAGGTTTTTTGGTAGAAAATATATGAAATTTTGTTATGGTTCTCCTAACCCTCTGGTGCCATTTTAGTTATACTGTTCTACAGTATTAGAGTTCTGATGTCAAATTTAAATGCGCATAATAATGACACATTTTTAAGAGAATTTATATTTTCGGCAATGTAATTCTTTTTTTGTCCATTTTAGGCAACATATTACTATATGCATACAAGGACCACAGTACATCGCCTGAAATCAACGATAATTAAAATATGTTATCATTATGCGTAAAAGAGAACATTGCCTATTATGGAGAATGGCCCATGTTACGCTACCATTATGAGCATTTAACCCTGTAAATTTCTACCAAGATTTTTTATATGGATTTTGTAAACAATGCCTAGAAGATAATATCTTCTAGGTCTAATTTTAAGTCAAGAATTGTATTTTGTGTCACCTAGAAAGTCATAATGACAACAAAAAGATAGTTTGGGTGGTTAAGATGACCTCATCGATGAGCCTTTGCCGATCTGGAGTACCAAACTTAGGGGCAGCTTCCCGAGATTTAATTGCAAGCACACGCCTTTCTTCTTTCTTGTAATCCAATGAGCCCAAGGCGCCATTCGGGCTGGTGGGCATAAATGCAATAAGTGCTGTTAAAGCAGTCCGAACTGCAAGAAAACTAGATATTAGTTCTACAGCATGTAACATAATTATGTGAGATTTAAATGCAAAAACAGAAAGCCAAACTATAGTTTTGTTTTGGGTAAAAGGTTTAAGCTTTAACCATCAGCACCCACCCCACCCTGACACCCCCCTCGTTACATCAGAGATGCACAAACAACAAGTTTCATAGCTAAGAATCAAGAGACCTGTGTTAACCGGAATGTATATCATGAGTGCATACAGAACTTTCATTGAAGCAAAGGGGGGCGTGCGTGTGAAGTATGTGTACATGCAGATGCACGTGTATGTGTCTTCTCAACAATACACACCTTGAAAAAACCACCTATGTTCCAAAGATCTTACACACTAGTCATTTAAAGGATCAATAATTGATAGATCATAGATTAACGGCTTGTTTTTTAACAGCTTAATGAGTTTAATAGGACTCACAGCTTATTCGTTCAACCATACATGACTATTTGGTAGTGGCTTAATAATTGATGAGTCGTAGATAACACAACTTGGAGGAACATAATGATATTGTATCGGATTAAATAAAAGACTCGCAAATGGGACCTACTGATCGTGTTTGGTATAATTACCAGCATTAAACAAAAAATCTTTAGTGTCGAATTAAAATCATGTTCAAATCTTTACACTGAAAATAACTTGTTTGACCAGATAAATCAAAATGCATCTCTACTTTTGAAATGGCCATAGTAGTCTATAGTGGTGATTCAGAACGAGATAATGATATCCATATCTTTAGACATATTCTAATTATATAAAAGAAAATAAAATACTCTATTTACCACTCCATGAGGGTTGCCAATGCTCAGGATGATGATTTGATATGCTCAAGCATATCTTGGTCTGAGTTTCAAAACGTCCGTTCGGCTGAAACAAAGACAATTAGTTTAATTTGGTATGGTGTAGGGAGGTAATGGGTTCAGAGATATAGAAATATCAACTGAATAATAGAGAAAAAAACATTACCGTCAATAACATAAATGATGGTGGTTTGAATGGATACTCTGAAGGCAATTGAATTCGACCGTGGTAAATTCCTCCTTCAAATTCGGTTTCACTTGGTCCCCTTATTGCAAATTGCCATTCAAATATGTTTTCCTGCAAAATGAATGTAGCCGATTTGAATCCAATGAGATTAAACGTCAATAAAATTAATCTGCCCAATTGTTTTAACGCAGGTTGCACCACGCTTTATCTTGACCTACAAAACCAGCATTGTCATTTGTCCCTTGAAACAATAGCTGGAAATGGCTCAGCTGAATCACTTCAGCCTAGAAACAACCTATTCATATCATAGTATTATGCTCCTTAACCAAGTGAAGGTATTAAACCTTCTGTCCTATAAACAATTGCAATAATTTCCATTTCAGGACCATCTCCGTTTTTCTAGAAAATAACACTTCAGCTGAGACTACCTGACTCATGTACTTCATCATTTCCTCCCTTCCTAAACATAATAACACTTTCATGACAGACCTACTTGAACACAAAGCTGGTACAACTTCCGAAACAAATTTAACACCAACACCATTTTATTCTTGTTTTTTTTCCATTGATTCTCTAGAGCATGTCCAACAAAAGGCATGGCCCTAAATTAATTAAGGGAATACCATAACTCTTAGAGCCTAAACAAGGACAATGTAAGCCCCAAGAGTGAGCTCTTTTACATCCATAGTTAAGAGTTATGCCTTTAGCCTTTACAGAATCGAGAGAATTGAAGCTCAATTAAACTAATTTGAGTAGAGAACTACATAAACTACCACGTATAAACATATCCCTCTGCCCCATTAACAGAATCCCAGTTTGATTTTGAAAATTTGAAACGTCCATGCTCTTCGAAATATGAAATTGGCATCAGCTCTTTTAGTTTCCAGCTATGTAAATCACTGTGTCGTTATATTTCGCATAACTTGCTAGAGTCACTAATCCTTTCCATATAACCATTAGAATGCTACTATCAGATTAGAAGTCAAAAGAGCCCTAATTTTGGGATAAGACGGTAATCGAAAAATATTTACCCTTAGCAAACAATTATCTTAGTTGATGTAAAAGCAATACAGCCCTTGAATAATGCGAAAACTTAATAGCTTCAAATTATTCCACAGAATGAAATCCCAATTAGATAATACTTTTATATAGTCAAATCCAGCATGGAATCAACCTAATCATGCCAACACGACCAAAAATTCAAGCGAAATTAAACGTAATCGCCGAACGAAGAGATAAAGTTGGATCTAAGGAAAAGGAAGACAAGAAGATAGATTATATTGAAAAACAAAAGAAATTTGTAAACGATTTACCTCAAGAGGAAAGCTCATGAAATCATCAGAAGGATTGGATTGCATCTCTTTCACCTCCTGCAAAATCCTCTTCACCGATGGATTCTTCATATTATACTTATCTCCCATTTCTTGGACTGGAATCAAACAGATCTGCAGGCAAATTGGATGAGATTATGAAGAAAAATATGAAAGGGGAAAGTAGGGATCAAGAACAAGATTTTGAGGGAAGTTGATTGTGAAAAGGTAAATATATCTAAAGGAAAGAGGCAGGAACATCGCCTAACACGTCACTTTTCTACGTGGCAATTTTTTACTGGCTGATATGATTGTTGTATATTCTTAAAGGGTAGAAGAAAAACTATTTGTAATCAAGACGATTATTCGTCCATCTTAATATTATTCAGCTTTTTGTATTAAGATAAGATAGTGTTTGAGATTGCTTACAAGTTACTTTTTTTATAAAAGCATGTATCAATTTATTATAAGTTAAAAGAGTTTAACTTTTAAAAAAAAATTATTACCGGTTTAACACCGGTATAAGTTGTTTATCCAAACACTTAAAAGTGCTTATTACCGGTACCACACCGGAATAAATCAATAAATTATTTTTATAAGCAATATCAAACACCCCATAAAATATTTAAAATTATCATTTAAAGGTTTGGGTCAAACTTTTTAGCCGTCCCCATCTCTACTCCCTTCTCGTCGTTATTGCCCTTTTATCCGTCATCTCAGCCCCTTCCTTCCCGGTGTCGGTGTTAGAGAGATCCTAACGGTTTGGGTCTTTTATTTCTCCATCTCCAAATTCCGACAAGGTACGCTGTCACCATCTCTTGTTCTGTGAGATGGTGTTCCAACTTTCAAATGAGAATATCTCCAGTTCTGAGATGGAGATTGATTTGCAATGATTTACAATTATTTATCTTTTATAACGTTTTCAGCTCATCTCTCTTCCTCCTCATGAAAATTACTTCGATGGGAATTGTCGTGTGTACTGGGTTTACAATGATTGAGGTTGTATCACCTTCAACCTTTTGTAATCGCCTTTCTCTAGGGTTTTTGAGCCCAAATGGGGTTTCATCAAAATTTCCATTTGCAAAGGGATGGTAGAGCATTGTTGTTGGAAATTTTATGATGGTGGAAACGTTGTTGCTGGATTTCATGGAGATGCGACATCAATGGTGGAATTTTTTTGATCAAATTTGTTTTGAAGATGAATCCATCACAGTTTAGCGGCTTTTTTTTGAGGGGGGAGGCTTACCAAGAAAGCTATGTCACGTCATTTTTCTTTTTCGTTAAGATATGATGTTGATGTTCGGTTGGCATTTCATGTCATCGTTAGTAGGTTATCAAGTAACCAAGACCCTTGTATAAACGACAAGTTTGCTTTAGACCCTTAGATGGTAATTTTGAAAGTTGGTTCTTCAAAATAGAAAACAGATCAAAATTGATTCCATTTTGATACAATTTTCTCTTCTAATAACAAGGAAAAACATATGAGAACGATCAAATGAAAAGAACAAGGATCTATCTATCACATAAAGTTTAAGATAATTTTTGAAGTAAAAATAAATTCTATGAATATTATCTTAGATTGATAAGTTTAATAAGAAGGAGAACATAAGCGAATATCATAAAAACAAGAAAAACTATGGTAACTAGTTTGACTGGGGTTATGAAAGGAGGGAAGGTCGGATATTGACACTTTTTGGAAAAAGGTTTAACACAATAGAATTTAGAGTTAATTACAATTTTGGTCTTTGTGGTTTGCCGATTATAACATTCTGTTCTTACAATTTCAAAACTACTCGTTGGTCATTATGGTGGTTTGCAAAAATGTTCCAATTCGGTCTCTTCGTCTAATGGCTGTTATAAAACCCTGTTAATTATGGGCTTTTTAGTTTTTTTCTCATTTTTTATTAAAATAAATAAAATTTAACTAATATATTATAGGGAAAATAGCACAAATAACCAAAATACAATGGTGTATATAAGGAAATGACCAACTTTTGGAGTATTTGCACAAAAAACAAGTACTTTCGCTAAAGTGTTCCTCCAACATTGGCTAAATGCTGATGTCGGGTCCACATGTCATAAAAAGTAGGTACATCTCCATACATTCCTCCAATGTTTCATGCATTTCACCAACTTAAGAGGTTGTTGGCGAAAATGCTGAAAGGGTCCCACCTCTAAAAAAACCTATTATTTTCTTGAAAATTGTACACATTTTCTCCACCTTAATTCTCCGTTGGAGAATTTGATTTTTATTTTTTTTGTATATAATGTCTAGTTTTTTCTAGATCAAACACATTCATCTATTCATAACACTATCTCAAATAAATATGAATTCACATCATAGTGATAATGTTATCATATTAGAGTAGGGGTTAGTTACAAACGGTTAATGGTGTTACTGAGTATATGTCATTAGAAGCGCTGAAATGTTTATCACCTTTGCTTTCACACGTAAAATATTCTGCATTGGTTAAACGCATGGTGAAAAAGTTAGGTTTTGGAAGTGCATTTAGATTATTTTACAAAAATCCTTTGATGAGTTGTGAGATATTTTAGTTTGGTAATGACAATGATGTTTCCAACGTCTAAAAACATGGTTTATCAAATTCTACCGCAATCGTTGATAATTTTTGTTGCCGATTTTGGTGGTAATGATTAAGATAGATCTGATGACATGATCAATCAACCATGTAATTTCCTGTTATGAGGAATCAAACTATGTATTAGCAGTTTTTTCCAAAATACGGAGATGGTGTTGAAAATCCATATTGTGTCGAAAATCAATCATGTACTTTCTTTCTACTACTAGTTAGCAAACTATGTATCAGCTTCTTCCCGATTGTGGAAGTAGTGGTGGAAATCCGTACGGTGGGGATAGTTTGTTTCCTTAAACAAACTTTGTTCAAGCCACTAACAACACTAACAAGTTCCACAATAGTAGCACAACTCATCCAAGCTTCGATTTTTCGTTAAAACTTGTTGTGGTTTTGGAACTTACAAATGACAATGGAGATGGTATTTTTGTTGTTCTAGATTTGAACAAGACTCTAGATTTGAACGAGTCTCCATTCAATGAAGGAAACATAGAAGATGATGTTTTAGTTTCCACAAAGATTTTGAATATCCTCGACGAAGATGACAGTGATGAAAATTCAAATGATAAAGAAATTCGGATAAAGAATTATTTTTTTAGGTATGCTTGATCTATTACCTTGTCCACCCCTTATATCAAACCAAGAAAACCAATGTCCTACCAGCCTATATCACATGTGAATGTTTTACAAATGTTCGACACGAGAGAATCGTTTGAAGCTAGCAATAGGATTAAAAAGTTTTCATGAAAATTTCCAAATAAAGGTAAAAAAATCATCTAAATAAAGGTATGATGCAGTTTGTTACTTCGCAAGATGTCAATAGCATTTAATGGCGATTGTTTTCGACGATACTACTTGTATGCTCCAGGTTCGAAAATTGCATGACGAACGCACTTGTTCAAGAAACCCAAGTCCACCCGAACCATTGCAAGAGACAACAAAGGTTTTGGGTCATATATTGCAATCGATTTGATATGTTGTTCGTCGCGCTTAATTGTTCTGTATACGTATTTTTTATTATTTTTTGTAATTTATGTACTTGTTGATGTCCATATATGTAACTTCAATCATCTGTAGATTCATTCATTTTTTGGACCTTTATGACCACTACTCATAATGGACAATGCCTATCTGAATAGTCCATATGTAGGCACCATGTTCTTAGTGGCGACATGGACATGAATAACAAAATCATGCATATTGCTATAGGAGTGAGAAAGACAGAAAGTGGTCCGTCCTGGACATAGTTTTTATCTATGTTAAAACAATATATTGGTGAAATGAATAATTTATGTTGATCATCTCTCATTGATTTGATGATAATCCCTTTTACCTATCGAAGTATAGTGTTTCTGCTTATTCAGTTTCAGCGATCATCACTGAGTCTGTTCAGTGATTACTGAAACATGCATTGTAACTCTCCACTGACTCTTATACTTCAAGAAGACAAAACTCACACCCAAGAACCTTCAACAATGTTGAAGACAGAAACTGAAGATTAGAGACTAGTAGTTCGTGATCTGAAGAGACATTCAATGATTACAAACTAGTCAGCATATGTGTGAAGACGACACAATCCTCAGCGAATGCTGAAGAGACCTCCAGCGTCATCCCAGCATTCATCGATCAAATGAATCTTACCATGCACGTTTGTTTTTTTTTTCTTGTCCTTCCACACACTAAGGACAAACCCATATCTTTTCTAGAGTACAGTACAATATGGAGCCAATTAGTTGATTCTATTGCTCACCAACTCTATGAAAAGATGTCTGCTCATGAATAGACAAAAGTACTATTCATTGTAGCAAAGGACAATCTTTTCTCAATAAGCTTGACACGTATTGTGTACCTTCTGAATTACATTTAATGCAATGGGTATAAATAGCTGAGTATTCTTCACTCAAACATACAAGCAATTAGAATTTGTCTTTCTTATTTTAAGAAGCATACCCAAGAAGAAACCTCTCTCTACTCTCTCTAAAGAGAAAGAACCACTTCAAGCAAGTGAAGAACACATTTCCAAGTCTTATTTTCTTACAGCAAATCTTTTCTATTTTCCTAAGTGTATTTGTGTGTACCTCTAGATTATTTAGATATGTTTTATTTACCTTATCTTTTACGCAAACAATCTGTAAAATTTGTATTGATCCTTTTTTATCAATATATAATTTTAAAAGTGAAGGTTTTTGTGTATGTATTCATCCCCCACTCTTCTACAAACTGTTGCTTATAAACTTTTCTAGATTCGACTAGGACCAACAATTTAACCTTTGTAACTGATATCACAACTTCTATTAAGTTGCCCATTAGAACGGTCTTCCCCACTGCTTATAACGGACTTTGTTGTCGGCATTTGAGTGTGAACTTGCGACAAATCTAGAAAAGAGATAAAACAAAGAAATGGATATTCTGGGAGGAATGCAAATCTTACAAAGTGTCAGACTTCGAGGCTATTATGTATTTGATGCAACATACTGTACACAACGTGACTACATATCTTTAGGAAATTGGTTATGAAAGATGAGCAATATCACACTTTCCTGGCTTGCAGTATAGTGCAATGATGTCCAACAGTGTCGAGTCAACGAATACGTTAACTCAGACCTACCGATTACAA